CGGGGTCACAGGGCTGAAAGGTGGCAGAGTGGGTACTTGAACCCGAGCAGCCTGGTTCCAGACTCCAGCTCACAACTCTTGCACTGCCATTCATGGATCCAGCCAGTGACCGTGCAGTCTTCACTCATGCACTGAATAATGTCTCTGTGTTTCACTGTTTGCTCTGGCCCCTGTTACCTCCTTTGATTGCAGCAAAAGCTGCCCCGTTGATTTCATTTCCACCAGTCCCCTCTCTGTTCATCTTGCCAATCAGAGATGGCTTAATCTTGCCACAGCGCCTCCTTCAGGGGTCCACTTCCCTACTCTTAACACCGTTTTTAAAAAGTTTTATTGATATACAACCCACATATCATACAGTTCACTTATTTAAAGTTTACAGTTCAGTGGGTTTCGGTGTATTCACAGAGCTGTGCATCTGTCACCACAATCAATTTTAGAACATTTTCATCACCCTGCAAAAGTAGCTCCGTACCTCTGATTTCCCCCTGTCCCCAGCCCCTGGCAACTGTTAACTTAACTCTCTGTCTCTATGGATTTGCCTATTCTGGACATTTCATGTAAATAGAATATACAGTATGTGACTTTCTGTGTCTGGCTTCTCTCACTAAGCGTAATGTTTTCAAGCTTCTCTGTGTCAGCGCTTCATTTCTTTTTCTTGCTGAATAACGTTGTGTGGATGGATGCACCACATTTTATCCATTTATCAGTTGGTGGACATTTGGGTTGTTTCTACTTTTTGGCTCTTGTGAAGGGAACTTTATTTTTATGTTTATTTATTTATGGCTGTGTTGGGTCTTCGCTGCTGCGTGCGGGCTCTCTCTAGTTGCGGCGAGTGAGGGCTACTTTTCGTTGCGGTGAGCGGGCTTCTCATTGCAGTGGCTTCTCTTGTTGTGGAGCACGGGCTCTAGGCATGTGGGCTTCAGTAGTTTTGGCTCATGGGCTCTAGAGTGCAGGCTCAGTAGTTGTGGTGCACGGGCTTAGTTGCTCTGTGGCATGTGGGATCTTCCCGGACTGGGGCTCCAACCCGTGTCCCCTGCATTGGCCGGCAGATTGTTAACCACTGCGCCACCAGGGAAGCCCTTGGCTATTGTGAATAACACTGCTCTAAACATTTATGTACAAGTTTTTACGTGGACATATGTTTTCATTTCTCTTGGGTATGCACCTAGGAGTGGAATTGCTGGATCATACAGTAACTCTGTTTAACTGGTGAGGTCAGGAACTTTTAATAGCTCCTCAAACCCCTCCGTCTAGTTTCCAAAGCCCTTTCCATCTGTTCTCGATATCTGCTATTCAGAATCACAACCTGGCCGCTTCTGCCAGACCAGGCTCACCCTCACCGTCTGACCTGTGTGTCGGGGCCCCTGATCTCCGGCTCACGCTTCTCACCCCAACTAGGACATGGTCCAGGGGCAGAGTCAGCCCACACATATATTTCTTTGAGACACACAGCGGCTTAAAAAATCTGAATTATTTGTGCAAGTGAGATTATACTTAATGATCCAGATTTTCACGTTCTCTAAAAATTGCAAGATTTGGTCACTGTGGGCCCACATACCTGTGAGGTACCCTCCACCTGACTGCAGCTGAGGGACACAGCCCTACCTTGTCCTTCTCACACCTTTCCTGGCCTGCTAGGTGCTGGGGTCCCTGACCTCTTACCTAGACCCATCCCTCCAAGGCCCAGCCCGGCTTGCTGCTCTGACCATCGCGCTCCACTTCCGAAAGCCGCTGGAGCTCGCGCTGCTCGGCTCCACACAGGAGGCTGTTCAGATGGGAGTGCTGGGCGGCTACAGGGGGGCTGTGACAGCACGAAGAACTGCAAGCTCTGGGGCCAGCTGCCTGGGTGCAAATCTCATGTTTACCCCCTTCTACCAGCTGTGTGACCTTGGGCCAGTTACCTGACTTCTCTGAACCTCAGTTTACTTACATTTTAAAATGGGGGTAGCAGTAGGACCCCTTTATCTGTTGTTACTGTGCGGGGTAAATGGACTGATATACATCTGTTATTATCAATATTATCGTTGCTGTCTTTTTCCTGATGTCTTCTCAGTGATAGTGTGCGAACTTTGGAGACCAGACTGCGCCGGGGCTGGGAGCTCAGCCATGGCAGCGGTGGGCACCCGGGCTGGTTGTCCTGTGCGTCTGGGGTTCTGCCTCCTTGGCCAGAGCTGCAGCCTCACGCTCCACCCCTGAGGACGAGGGCACCTTCCCACGAGCCGGCTGTGGGCCTCACTCCCTGCCCCGCAGCGCTGGCGCCGCCACCAGGCCCGGCCTGTGGGGCTGAACTCAGGGCAGGTGGTCCCTGCTCCCCGTCCAGCTGGCTCGAGAGAGATGGCGAGCTGGGTCAGGGCAGGTGGGCCAGGCAGGTCTGAACCGGGAGCCACTTCTTTTTGTTTGTTTGAATTAAATATTGACCGGATAAAAAAGAATGCTTACACAATCTAGGGAAGATATGCAGAACTATGTGTGACGAATGCCAGGGTACCTGCCAACCTTGTGTCCCTCCCCCAGTCCCTGTCCTTTGCGTTCCAAGTTTCAGGTGGACTTTCCCCTTGCTTCTCTTTATCGTTTCTATGTGTGTCCGGTTCCCTAAACAACGTGCTGTTTCATTTCGAAGAGCCATCACACTGTGTGTGTGTGAGAGTTGAGTCTTTCTGTCCCTTTAACCTGCATTCACCATAATCTCTCCAGATCTGTCTTCTAATAACTGACTTTATTTCCAACTGTTCCTAATCCATAAAACCCATCTATGGAATTTCTGATTTCCCCTTATATTTTTCATTGGTTAAAATTCTGTTTATTCTGGTCATTTTATGTCATATTTTCATATTTAATTTTTAGCAAAGCAATCAGGTTTCTTTCTCTCAGCACTGTGCCTTTGAGGTTGATTCCTGACGATGTGTGTGTGTTCACTTTCTCGGCCATACAGTGTTCTGCGATGTGACTGCAGCAGTGCATCTGGTGCTCGGGATGCAGCAGGGAGCAGACAGATGCAGTCCTACTTTGATGGAGCTTCAAGGGTTCCAGGGAAGACAGATAAACAGGCACCAAGTTAGTCAGGTGAACTGGCCAAAGACAGGACCCCCAGGAGGGGAGGCCAGGAGGTCGGTAAAAATCTAGAAGCTGAGACCCGAAGGAAGAGTAGGAGTTGCTGGGTGGGAGAGCGGCTCCCATCTTACAGGTGACGCTCATGAACCTTGGGTAAATGACTGCTCTTCCTACTGTGATGGCACCTTTTTCTGTACTTAAGGCTGTGATTGGCCCAAATCTTGGCAAGTCAGCTGAATGTGAACATGTCGTCTGAGCTGTTGTGCATTTGAACCCTAAGCCTTTAGACCACTGCGTTGTATGTATTTGAGACACTGATAATCAGAGTTCATGCCAAGGTCTGGAGGAGGGAGAGTAATGTGTGTGGTTAACCAGCTCCTGACTCTGCTTGTCCTAGCCCTGGGCCTCTGATTCTTTCCTCTCGCGTAGAGCCAGGACAGTCACGGTACCCTCCGCGCAGGATCTCGTGGGTGTGACGGGGACAGTCATGGTACCCTCCGTGCAGGATCTCTTGGGTGTGATGGGGACAGTTGTACCCTCCGTGCAGGATCTCGTGGGTGTGACGGGGACAGTCGTGGTACCCTCCATGCAGGATCTCTTGGGTGTGACGGGGACAGTCATGGTACCCACTGTGCAGGATCTCGTGGGTGTGATGGGGAAAGTCGTGGTACCCACCTTGTGGGATCTTGTGGGTGTGACCGGGGGGCGGGTGCCTAGCATCTCCGCCCTGTCTCAGGCACAGCAGGCGTTGGTGTTGTCACTGCCGGGCTCTGTGATCAGTGTTCTGTGTGTCACCCTCTTTTAGCCTCTCAGTAACTGTCCACTGGGCAACTTGCCATCTCTACCTGTATGTCTAAAGCTTAAACACACCTAAAACAGAGCTCCTGGTTTCCCCTCTACCAGACCATCCCTCTCCTAGTCTCCTCATCTCAGTAGATGCTGCCGCTGCCCGTCTTCCCTCCCTTGCTCGTGCTTACCCGCATCGGTCAGCGGGCCCAGTCAGTTCTGACCCCAGAAAGGATCGTCTGCTCCGACCAGCTCCCCTTTTGATGCCGCTTTGGCCCAGGCCCCACCGTCTCCCGCTGGGCAACCGCACAGCCTCCTCGTGGGTCTCGTCTTTCTGTAGCCGCTCCCCCCGCAGCAGGCCGGGCGCCCGTGAATGTGCGGAAGAGCTTGCTGTGGACTTCCTCAGGCCCTCCAGCGGCTCCCCTGAGCTTGGAGACAAGCGCAGCCTCGTCCCCAGGCGTTGCGAGCCCTGCCCTCCCGCCTGCTCTCTCCCTCTCACCTCCTTCTGGGCGCCTGGCAGCCGAGCTTGTTCCTGCCTCAAGGCTTTTCCTCTCGAAGCTCCCCTCCATCCGGAATGTTGTCCCCCGCTTCTTGCAGGGCTGCCCCTTCAGGTCTCAGAGGGGCCCGCCCGTTCCCCTCTGTCATGAGCTCTGTCTGTAATGTCTTTGTTGGCTTTTCTCCCTCCCGTCTTCCCTCCCTCCCTCCCTCCCACTCACCGTAAGCTGCCGGCAAGGACCTGTCTGTTGCTCTGCAACTCGTGCGCTTGGTAGAGGGTGGCAGTGAACCCCATTTGATGGCAGGATGCAGAGCAGAGACTCAGAAGTCAGGTAACTCGTCAGGGTCGTGCGCTAGCAGGCCGCCCAGGCCCTCTCTGTAACGCGCAGGGCCAGACCTGCTGGCCAGGGCCCAGGATCCGCGCGTGCAGTCTGGCCTCTGCGGGGACCAGAGCCTTCCCCAGGCAGGTGCCTGGAGACGTCCAAGGGGACTGACACGTCCTGGCAGAACGGTTCTCATTGAAGGGAGGTGGCTCAGAGACGCCCGCGCTCCTTCCTCCCCCTGTGCTGCCCTGTGGCCCGCTCTCCGCACTGGGGACCCGAAGCACAGGCGGGGCTCCTGGCACTCGTCGGGGAGCTGCTTAAGACCTTCGCCCTCCTCCCGCTCAGGTCGCACCAGCTTCTACGAGGAGTACGGCGTCATCGGCGATGTCTTGCAGAACCACCTGACCGAGATCCTCATGCTGGTGGCCATGGAGCTGCCCGTCAACGTCAGCAGCTCGGAGGCGGTGCTGGGGCACAAGCTCCAGGCTTTCTGGGCCCTGCGGGGCCTGCAGAGGGGCAGTGCTGTCGTGGGCCAGTACCAGGCTTACCGCGGGCAGGTGCGCAGAGAGCTGCAGAAGCCAGACAGCTTCCACAGCCTGACGCCGACCTTTGCAGGTGGGCTCCGAGGCTGGGCACGGGCTGCGGGCCGCCCCCACCCATATCCCCCAGACGGAAGCACTGCTTCCAACCCGGATGCCCTTCAGGTTGGGTTGGAAGGGACTTGAAGTGGGGTTTTCACAAGGGTGCTCAGTGGCGAGTAAGAAGTGCCCCTGCCTCTCTGACTTCCCGCCAGCTCAGACCAGCGGGTCACCTGCTGGCTCCCTCTGGGCGGAGGACACCTCAGTGGCGGTCTCCATTCAGTCCACGTCCACGGATCCTGCCGGGGCTCGCCAGTCTGGGCTCAGACCTCGCTTTGCCCTTGTGGAGCTTACATCAGCCCCCAGAGAGGCTGCAGGCCTGCCTGCTGCAGCCGGGGGCACCCCCAGCGGGCAGGCACCATGCTGGTCAGGCAGGTGTCCAGCGGGGCCATCCTCTGGACACTCCCACAGGCTCAGAGCTTTCTGGGGGAAGCTGGCTCCCTGCCACTGAGATAACAGCCGCCGCAGCCAGAGCAGCAGCTGCTTGTCGAGCACTGACCACGTGCCTGGCACTTTATATACATTATCTCATTTAATCCTCACGCGTACAGACGCATCAGGCAGGTGTGATTATCATGCCCCTCTAGAGGTGAGGAACCGTGAGGCTCAGTCAAGTTGCCAAAACTTGCCCAAGTTCACGCAGAGATAGTACATGGGAAAACCAGGTTTGGAACTTGAGTCTGGAGGGCACTCGGCGTCCGGCTCTTACAGCCGTGGTCCCCGCTGCAGGTCTCCTCACCTGCACGGCAGTTCCCCACTCGCCTGTGGCTGAGAGCCCTGTCCACCCTCCCCTTCTCCCTGTATGTGACGGCCTCAGCGCGTCCTGAGTGCTCTGCAAACAGGAAGGAAGTCCGTTTCCCTAGGAACCCACACCCCCTCAGTCAGGATCGCTGCTGCCTTGCCCACCCTCCTTGAGACTCTTCTCAGAGCCTCTGGGTTGGAGCCTCTCAGTCCAGTTCCCCTTTGCTTGAGGACGATGACTCTGAGAGGTGCCTCAGGGAGCTGGGTGTCCGAGGTGGCCCCAGAGGCTGCTTTTCAAGCACCGACTGGGCAGAGATGGTAACAGAAGAGGTGAAAGATGGGGGTGAGGCTAACGAGGCCAGGGGTGCCCAGAGGAGGGCTCGGAGAGGGGAAGGCTTGCTGGCAGAAAGGAAAGGAGATGAAGGCAGGTGGGCTGAGAGGACCTGGTTCTCATGCTGGAGCATCACCTCCGCTGCCCCCCGTCACCCCAGGCGTCCTCGTGCACATCACCTCCACTGTCCCCTGTCGCCCCAGGCGTCCTCGTGCACATCACCTCCACTGTCCCCTGTCGCCCCAGGCATCCCCGTGCACATCACCTCCACTGTCCCTGTCACCCCAGGCGTCCTCGTGCACATCACCTCCACTGTCCCTGTCACCCCAGGCGTCCTCGTGCACATCACCTCCACTGTTCCCTGTCGCCCCAGGCGTCCTCGTGCACATAGACAACCTTCGCTGGGAGGGTGTCCCTTTCATCCTGATGTCTGGCAAAGCCTTGGATGAGAGAGTGGGCTACGTTCGGATCTTGTTCAAGGACCAGGCGTACTGTGCCCAGAGCGAGAAGCGCTGGGTCCCGGCCCAGAGCCATTGCCTTCCTCAGCAGATCATCTTCTACATTGGCCACGGTGAGCTGGGCGGCCCAGCTGTGCTGGTCAGCAGGACCCTGTTCAGGCCCTCCCTGCCCTCCGCCAGCTGGAAGGAAGTGGAGGGCCAGCCTGGGCTTCGCCTCTTTGGCCGCCCTCTGTCTGATTACTACGCCTACAGCCCTGTGAGGGAGCAGGACGCCTACTCCATCCTCATCTCTCATATCTTCCACCGCCGGAAGGACTCCTTCATCACCATGGAGAACTTGCTGGCTTCCTGGGTCTTCTGGACGCCCTTGCTGGACAGCCTGGCCCACGAGGTCCCACGCCTCTACCCAGGAGGAGCAGAGAATGGACACCTGTTGGACTTTGAGTTCAGTGGCAGCCACTTGTCCTTTGCCCAGCCTCCACTGGAGCAGCTGGTGCTGGGGCCGGATTCTGCTCCGATGCCCAGCGACTTCCAGGTCCTCAGGGCCAGGTACCGAGACAGCCCGCTGATATCGGCCTGGCCGGAGGAGCTGATCGCCAGGCTGGCCGGCGACATCGAGGCTGCAGCTGTGCAGGCTGTGAGGCGCTTTGGCAAGTTCCACCTGGCACTCTCAGGCGGCTCGAGCCCCGTGGCCCTGTTCCAGCAGCTGGCCATGGGGCACTACAGCTTCCCCTGGGCCCACACACACCTATGGCTGGTGGACGAGCGCTGCGTCCCGCTCTGGGACCCCGAGTCCAACTTCCAGGGCCTGCAGGCTCACCTGCTGCAGCACGTGCGTGTCCCCTACTACAATGTCCACCCCATGCCTGTGCACCGGCGCCAGCGGCTCTGCGCCGAGGAGGACCAGGGCGCCCAGGCCTATGCCGAGGAGATCTCCACCCTGGTGACCAACAGCAGCTTCGACCTGGTGCTGCTGGGCATGGGCACCGACGGGCACACGGCCTCCCTCTTCCCTCAGTCACCCGTCGGCCTGAACGGCAAGCAGCTGGTGGTGCTGACCACGAGCCCCTCCAGCCCGCACCGGCGCATGAGCCTCAGCCTGCCCGTCATCAACCGCGCCCACAAGGTGGCGGTCCTGGTCATGGGCCGGATGAAGCGCGAGATCGCCATGCTGGTGAGCCGCGTGGGCCACGAGCCCAGGAAGTGGCCCATCTCGGGTGTCCTGCCTGACTCTGGCCAGCTGGTGTGGTACATGGACTATGACGTGTTTCTGGGGTGACGGTGCCTTTAAAGCCCTTCGCTCACCCCCGCGCTTTCCTTCACCCGCCCTCTCTCCGCCCTCTCAGTCCTGCCCCAGCCCGCGTGCCCTGCTCTCTGGAATCTGATGCCTCGTGGTCAGGCTCCTGGAGACGAAGGACAAAGCCCTTCCCCAGCCCCCGTGACCGTCCCTGCCTAGTGGTGGTGGGTACACACCGGAACAAGGAAGAAATGGAATCTCTGCTCTTGAGAAGCTTCAAATCCAAGTCAGGAGAGAAATGTCCACCTTAAGAAAAGACCTGCAGCAGTTACATGTGAACACTAACCAGCGCAAAATAGGACGGTCTGAAAGCTCCCCGCGTGAACAGGAATGTGGTGGGCCGAGGTTAATGGGGGGTTTCCTGCGGGCCGGGACCGTTCGACCAGCTCTGGTGGAAAAGCAGAACGTGGACGGTAGAGAGCAGGAGCCCAGGCGCCAGTGGCCCTGTGCCCCCCCACACAGCAGGCTGCCGGGAGCCCTCACCTCTGCTCCATCCCCTTCCTCCTGAGCCTCTGACTCAGCCTGCTGTCCTGTCTCCTCCGGGGCCACCTCCACCTGCTCTGCATCTCGAGTCTCTTTCTTTTCAGTCCCGACCATGGAGATCTTCCCACCCCGTCTCTGTTTCTTTGCTGTCCCTCAGACGCCCCATTTATGGACAGATGATGATGACAGTAACACGGTGACAAACAAGATGTTAAAATGGATCCAGAAATCGTGCGACTGGTTTGCAGCTCCTTTTCTCAGTAGATGGATTTCTCTGATGGCAGGAGGCTCTGGTTCCCCAGCTCTGTCAGGGAAGACCACTGCCTGCCCCCACGCTTGCGTTCCTGTCCCCAGCCAACTCTGCGTGAAACACACTGGAGATAGATGATCAGGCCATTCCAGGGATCCCACGTATAGGAGGGTCCTTTGTGTCTCAGGGGACTTCCCAGTGAGTGTTTCCACTCTCGATGTCCCTAGTTTTACCTGGGAAGATCCAGTTAAATCTTTCTCTGACGGTGACATCTCGTTTGCGGGGAGAGATGTGACATCAGGTGATCGTGACCAGCCAGGTGCTCTGATCTGACTAGGCTGAGCCAGGCTTCCCTGGTGGGGCCCTGCAGCTCATGTCAGCACTGGCTGCCCACGACCGTCTCAGGGACTTGACTGATGGTCAGCGCCAAGGGGGGCTGCCGTCTCCCCTTCTCATACTACCTCGTGGCGGCATCGGCCTCCTGTCTGCCGGTCCCTCCTGCCAGCGCTCACCTCCCCACTAACGCGTTGCAGAAGATCTGGGGGAAACCAACAAGCTTCTCGTTAAGAGCAGGTGGGTAGTCCGCTCCTGAGAAGCCATGGGTCAGTAATACCTGTTTTTCCTGCGTCTCCAAAATTCTTTTTTAAAAATCAAGCTTCTCAGGACACTTCTTTTTTTTTTTTTTGGCTGTGTTGGGTCTTCATTGCTGCTCGGCCTTTCTCTAGTTGGGGCGAGTGGGGACTACTCTTCGTTGTGGTGCACTGGCTTCTCTTGTTGCGGGGCAGGGGCTCTAGGCGCACGGGCTTCAGTAGTTGCAGCACGTGGGCTCAGTAGTTGTGGCTCACAGGCTCTAGAGCGCAGGCTCAGTAGTTGTGGCACACGGGCTTCGTTGCTCCGCGTCATGTGGGATCTTCCTGGACCAGGGCTCGAACCCGTGTCCCCTGCATTGGCAGGTGGATCCTTAACCACTGAGCCACCAGGGAAGCCCTCTCAGGGCACACTTAATTTTTATTTCAATTTCCCACATAGCCATGTCCCCAAGATATGTCAATAAAGGATAAGACAGATGTTTCGGTGTAACTGTTTCCCCATCTTATAGTCACATTTTGTATCAGGCAGATACATCTGATCAGGCAGATACAAAGTGTCAAGGTCACAACAAGGGCTTTCCTGGGTGAGGAGGAGCATCATGCAATCTGTTTCTCTACATTTGATTTTTTACACTTTCTTCAAGGCAATTTACACTTCAGGAATTTAAAAGAGTTCTTGCTGTGATTTGAGATGTGTGCCTGTGAGGTGGGCGCTGGCAGGGGGCCCTGCACCTGTTGATATTTGGCTTCCCCTGGTCTCCAACGACCCGGTCCAGACAGGACATCTCTCTTTGGGCCGAGAGAGCTCACCTTGGCCTAAAAGAGCACAGTGCCGGGGTCAGGAAGTCTCCCTTTCTGAAGAGTCAATATTTTTTTTTTTTTTTTTGCGGTCCGCGGGCCTCTCACTGTTGTGGCCTCTCCCGTTGCGGAGCACAGGCTCCGGACGCGCAGGCTCAGCGGCCATGGCTCACGGGGCCCAGCCGCTCCGCGGCATGTGGGATCTTCCCAGACTTTAGCTTTGATGCACCTGGTGGGCCGGCCTGCTGGAGCGGACACGTGGTTGTCGCCCGAGTGCCGCCTCTGGCCACGTGGGGGCGCCCTCGCACCATCCCTGCTGTCTGGAGGGCGGAGGCGTTTCCCCTCCACGCAGGTTCCTGCGCTTCGCGGGCCCCTTAGCTCTGAGCAACGCCCCCA